TTGAGCATCTGTCCCCTGGTGGTCAGTTTGCGTTGTAGCAACTGGTCGTTCTGCTGTTTGGTCGATTTGCATATTAGCCTTTTATTATATAGGATGTTTGGTCTTGATAGTAATCTTGTCATATACTTCTATTTTACATGCATAATGTAATGGGATGTAACAGCCACCATTGAACTGAGTGCTCACTGTATGCTAGGCAATGTTTGAGGGCCCCTGCACCGCCCCCCCCCGGGGGGGCTAGTAACTAATTAGCTAACATTGCCATTGTACTCATTTAGTTCTAACAACATATGAAATATGTTCTATTATTATTCCCATTTTAGATGAGGAAGCTAAGGCACAGAGCGGCTGAGTAACTTCTCCAAGGTCACAGAGTAAGTCAGTGGCAGAAGCCAGGCAGTCTGATTCAAGAGCTCATGCTCACAACTGTCTTAAGTCTCTCCTGGTGCCTTCTATTGGTATCCACTCATCAGCTGCTTGTCAACTGATCAGTGCTGATTTGTTGTCAGGAAACAGTCCTAATCTAAACAAGGAAAACAGAAAAAAAAAAGAGTTTGACCCCTCTCCACACACTATCCTCACTGCTCCTTCTCATTTTTCAATCAGGAAGCAAACCCTTGTATAATAACAAGCTGTTTTCTATTGTGTGTGCTTCCAGAAATAACACTTTTAACTGAGAAGGAGCTAACCTTAAACAAATTCATGTCATAGGAAAGCACGTATCCCATGAAAAGTCCAAAGCATTCAAGTACCTGGACAGATGGGGATAGTATCCTATTAATCTCTGAGCCCCAGTGCCTTGCCTTGTGCTTGGCCCACAGAACGTGCCCGATAAGTGTTCCTGTATGAGCGGATGGTGTTTTCCAAGGCTGGTGCTGGTTCTGCATAAAGGTAACTGATCCTTCAATCCCCTTCAGCGCTGGATCCAGTTTGGGCTGCTGTGCGTTTTGTCAGAGACCTCTCAAAACCAAAAGACCCTTCCTCACCTCCCTCTGCCTGCCCCCTTTATTCAGCCCACTCCTGAGAGTCCTTCTCTGGAGGGCAGATGGGATTATATGAAAGGAGGAATGACCCCTTGCTTATTGCTCCACAAGCAAAGGCACTCCTTGTATACACAAGGCAAATATTTATTCACAGCCTTCCATATTTATTGTTCATGTTCATTGTGTAGTGTTTATTGTTCCATATGGCTTGTCCTTTGGTGCCACCTGCGCTTACAGCACTGCGTGTGCACAGTGGCGCTGAACAGGCAGCGGAGCTGATTTCCTTTATGCGGAAGAGTCTCTATGAAACAAAATAGACAGATCTTGCAGTTACGTAGAATTTCATTGCAAGAGTCAACTGATTTCTATATCACAGTGAAATCATCCCCTAAACCATGCAGCCTTACTGTGCACAAAGCCAGGATCGCAGTCATGATTTCCTCGCAGTCATGTTTTTCCGAGAAGGAAAAACAAGTGAAGCAAGGGCCCAACTAAGAAACGACAGTATTCCGAAAGCCTAGTGATCGCAGTGGTTCAGAGATAAGCTGTCGATAGATCAGGCAAAACTGCACCAGACAAGTGATCACCAGACTCTGTAACATGGAAGTCGCAGGGCCCTCAGCAGAGAGGTTTGGCTCAGTAGCGAGGGAGGAAGCCTGACTGTACTGGATTCAAGAGAGAATGGAAAGATGAGAATTGGAGATAACAGGTAAAGGCAACTGCGGGTTTTTTTTTTTTTTTAAGAGTTTTGCTGAAGTATAAAAGGAGACAACCTTAAGTTATGAGAAATGGGAGAAGGAGGCATTTGTCTAGGTTTGTAGTATAAGAGATATTGCTGATATTTTCCTAGATCATATCAACTAAACTAGTACAGTGCACCTCTTCACCTTGGGCTACATACTTTCTCAAAAAGTCACACAGACACTATTCCATTGAGAAAGGGTGGAAGGCTGGATTGGCACTTTCTTTAAGCTCAAAAAAGATCCATTCTCTTTTTATTGGTGACCAGTTGTTACTGCCATGCATACGCATGGAGTCATCTGCAAGGCTGCCCACCCTACAAAACCATCTCAGTGTCATCATCTTTAATGACAAAAAATAGCTCCCTGAACTGCATGACAGGCAAAACCAGGGCCTTGGATTTGAGGGGCTTTATCATGCCTTCATCTTCCTGATGAGAGAATTCCGAAAAGTGTTACTGCTTCCTGACCACAGTACAGCTCCACCATTATGCAAACGCAGGTGGAGACAAGACACCTTCGTACGGAAGTTTCTTCTACAGTGGAGCCCCCATTACTCCATCAAATTCTCCCTTTTCATGCACTAAAGCATGAGGGTTCTCAGCCATATGCATCTCTAATTACAAATCTCTGTACTAGAGTAATTAGTGTAACTATTTCTGTTAATAACGCTCTCCTCAATCCATTTGTGACAGATTGTACTACTTGTTCACAATTATTCCCCCATGCTTCTCTGTAAGTACGATATATTTCTTTGTCCCATTATCTTTAGGACAAAGATGGCCATGTAACTTGCTTTGGCTATGGGAATGTGAGCAGCTGTGATATAAGCTATATTTGAGCAAAAACAAAATACGCTTGTGTGGTTTAGCTTTCAGCCCCCTCTGTGAGTGTCTGTCTGCCCTCTGCCACGAGAACAACATGGCCTGCATGCTGGATGCTTCTTCAGGCTGGGCTGCATCCAGACGGCACGCAGAACCCGGTGAGCCCGGCACAGCTCAGCTGGCCAACATCCTTGTGTACCACGAGCCAGGTACATGTGTTCCTTTTTACGTCACTGTGAGCTTGGGATTGTTTGTTCCTGTGGTAAAAGCTGACTGATATCCTCTTTATTAGACTATCATATTCCTCAAGTGACAGAACCATATTTATTCTCTTTTGTTGTTGTTGTTTTTGTTAATCCTCACCCGAGGGTATTTTTCCATTGATTTTTTAGGGAGAGCGGGAGAGAGAGGGAAAGACAGAGGGAAACATTGATGTGAGAGAAACACATTGATTGGTTGCCTCCTGTATAAGCCCCAACCAGGGCTCGGGCCGGGGAGAAGCCTGCAACCAAGGTACATGCCCTTGACCAGAATTAAACTCAGGACCCTTTGGTTGACAGGCCGATGCTCTATCCACTGAGACAAACTGGCTAGGGCCATCTTTATTCTTTATGATATGTCCTCATATACACCACAATGCTCTGAAATTGTGGGCCCCTAATAAGCACATACACAACAGTGAGTCATTATGTCCATTGTAGCTTGTTTAGCTAAAGTTTGGAATCAATGCATGATTCATATCACTGACACGTTGGCTGCACCTTCATGATAAGCTCCTTAAAGTCATGTTCAAAGCCATTCTCACCCTGCCTTCTCACCCTTGATTTTGGTCTACTGAGTTATGGCTGTTGACCAAGAAAACCTAAATGATTCAGGCTTCAGAAAAGGGAATTGGGTCTTGGGCGTCCCTACATGCCCCAGTGTTTAAGGCCACATAGAAAGAATCTGCTCTGCATGTGTTTGTGTGATTTAGCTCTATGTCCAGTTTAAGACAGGCCACAAGCCTTGCCCAGGGGGCCTCACTGCAAAGAAAACAGTCCAATTCTTGCTTCATTTACCAAGTAAACTGCCCTGCCTTGCACAGAGACTATTTAGACATTGTGCAGGAATCAGAGACAATATCAGGCACAGTTCTGGGCTTCCAGAGGACTTATAATGTAATTGAAGGGACAGGATATATGTGTACAAGTCTAAGACAATCAACAGTTAATTCTTTACTGGAGGTCTTGGGGTGTGGTAGGAAAGAGATGGTTAGAAAATTGGGAGACCTGGTCCTAGCCATGCTCTACTGCTGGTTAAGTTACTTGGAGACGATCTTTTCACTATTCTGTGCATGTACAAAAAGGACTGAACAAGAAAATATAAAAAAACAAACGAAGGACTAAACAGGTTACCATGAGGTCCTTCACATTTCCATGGTTTTATGACTCTAAGATATATCACCAAGCAGCATAATGTCACCAAGTGCTCCGTCCCCGGGGTAGGTGGTACAGGCTGGGTGCTCAGAGGACCTCTTTGTTTTTCTGATCCTGCTCCCACCCCCAAACTGGTTTGCTTCCAGGTTGATCATAGAGACCCCCTCTGCCTTAAGTCTTGAGCCAGATCTGATGGAGCTGACTTGAGAGTGTAAACTCTCTGCAAACAAGTCCAGAATTATGCTCAGATACCACAAATCAAGCAAGGAGAAGGAGAAGCTCCCCGAAAGCTGATTTAGCCCCCAGGAGCAACATGGGCTGGGTTTGCTGGAGTTGATGCAGGTGCCTGAAGCTGCTGTGCTCAGTGCCTGGGCCTCATCCCCAATGGGACAGAATTCTGGGGGCACCATGGAGGGGGCTGTCCATGTGACTGGTGTCCTGATGGACAATATCTCCCTAATGCTCTGCTTGTTTGCAATTACTGAACACCCTCCAACCCTCAGGTGAAACCAATTCTCATTACAACAGGCGGGGTCCATTAATAGATGCCTCATTTGACATGAAAGGAGGAGGAACTAGAAGAAATGGAAAAATTAAACTTTAAGAACATCCACTGGTGCTTTTCTGATTGTTCTCTGGCAAAATACAGAGAGTAAAGTTAATCCCATTGGTTCAAATACCCTGCAAGCCTTGGGGATTAGCTGTCTCTGCTCACCTGGCGATTTTGCCACAAATGTATTTAAATTCCCAGCCCGGAGCCTGGCAGGGCTGCTCAGCTGGCCACAAGACTCTTTGGTCTGTGCAAGCTTGTCTTCATTTGGCTGTGAGTGCTTTTGTTTTTTCCCCAAGTATTTACAGGAGCTGGACCACAGTGTGTTTTAATGGACTCACATCAGAGCTGTGTTTTTAAAAGCAAAGGATCTCATTTAGGCAAAATCTCCATTTATTGGGAAATCAGGTTCCTTTGCAAAGTGCTCTTGGCAATTTGCGAAGGAAAGTGGAGGGTGTTGACAACATAAGAAGAATGGCTCTACTTACTTGGAACTCCGGACACCAGCCGCAAGGGGCGCAGCACGCGGAACGCTCTCAGCGCCTTCACATCAAATCCAGCCCCTTTCCCTCCTAGAGCGTTTGCCCCGTCACCTTTGGTTGCTTGTTCTAAAATTGCACTAAAAAGCCTAAAAGAGAGGAAGGAGAGAAGAAACTGTCAGACAGTGTTTTTTGCTCAGCTGGACTTTGAATTCTCGGAAGGAGGCCTGGGGGAGCAGTTTGTGACCATCTCCACCTCAGGAGCAAATGCTGAGGTGTGTGCCCAGGAGGGTCTGTGGCCATCAGAAGGTGACAATGCATCATGTGCATATACAGGGCATAGCCTCTGCCTAGAGAAGTCTGAGCGAGGCCACAGGCAGGCCCTTTGCCATCATAAAGCTGTGAAAACACATCTGGCTCTGTGAGCTGGGCAGCCTTAGACAGAGTGAAAAGCAAATGAAGTTTGCTGCCAGGCCCCCTGTCCCCTTACGGTGCCCTTTGGCCCCTCTGTGATATCGTAGCTGCTGCCCTTATGTGGCCTGGAACCACATTCTTTCTCCTCCCCATCTATTTGATTTGTATCTGCGTGCAAATAAATGATCCCAAAGAAATCTACTTTGTGCCGGCACAATAGATGCTCAAAGGAAATAAGATGAACAAATGAATAAATGATTGAATGAGTAAGTTTCCAGCAGGAGCAATACCACACACTAAGGCATGTAACCAAGACAAGGAAATTAACAGCCCTGCTGCTCTGTGTTTCTGCTTGTATGTCTATCCCTCCAACAAATGCGAACACTTATGCACCTGGTAATGTTCTAGACACCAAGGCCACAGCAAAACAGACAGTCATTACCCCCTCTTGGAGCTTACATTCTAGTGAAGGAGTCAGACAATAAACCAAATAATCAATAAATGTATATCAGGCTTAGAGAGTGATAAATGCAGCAATGAAGGGGGGTCTGGAGGGGCCAAGGTGGGAGCCTTCCTGTTTGACATCAAAAGGCTAAGAAAGGAACTCGCTTCTAGGCTGACATGTGAGCAGAGACCTAAAGAAAGTGCAGGAGTGGACACAGAGTTATGGGAAGAGGCAGAGGGAACAGTTGGTGCAAAGGGCCTGAGGGAGCAGCATGGTAGTACGTTAGAGGGACAACAAGTGGCAGGGTGGCTGGTGCAAAGCAGGTAAATGGACACAGTGGGAGGTGAAGGTGGAGAGGAAGCAGGGAGCCCTACCGGTTTTCTCTCTGAGTCAGAAGGCACTGGGAGGTTTTGAGCAGGAGAGTGGCATGATTTGATGAGGGTTTTAAAACAATCGCTCTAATGCTGTGAGAAGAATAGCCTGTAGTAGGACAAGGCCAGGGCAGGCTGCTGTGTAAATCCAGGTGGGGAGGCACAGACCAGGTGGTGGTGTTGGAGGTCATGAGAAATAGTCGGATCTGGATTTATTTTAAGAAAGATGTGATGAGGTGGGCTGATAAACCAGATGTGAGTTGTGAGAAAAACAGAAGAATCAAGACCATTCCAACAGTTTGGGCTTGAGCAACTGGAAGGATGAGGTATGGGGGATGCACATCAAGGGTTCTATTTTGAACTTCGTGCAGTTTGAGCTGCCGGTTGGACATCTGAATAGATGTCTTAGTAGGCTCTATTGGGTGTGGACTTCTGGGGGGTGGGGACTCCAGGCTGGAGACAAACACTTGATACTTGTGTCAACTGTATTAAAGTCAAATCCAACGAGATTGCCTAGGAGGCTAGTGTAGAAAGTGAAGATGTGATAGGACTGAACCCTGGGGCTCCAACACCGAGGGGTGAAGGAAAGGAGAAACCAATAAAAGAGACAAGTAGATAGAATGGTGGGCTGTGAAAGAACTGGTCATGAGAAGAGAGTGGTTAACCATCAAGTGCTACAGATATAAGGATGGACCACTGACCATGGAATTTAGTAATATCAAGACCAATGAGACCATGCAAACATGTTTGAATAGTGATGGGAACAAAAACCTAATAGATATGAGAACAGGAGGAACACTAGAGACAGGGATAATTCAGCTCTGTCCAAAAGAAATATAATACAGGACACAAATGTGAGCCACATATATAATTTAAATATTCTAGCAGCCACATTAAAAAAGTAAAAAAGAAACAGGTGAAATTAACTTTGACAATATATTTATGTAACCCAATGTAACCAAAATATTTTAATTGTAATAAATATAAGTTTCTATCTCTCCCTCTCCCTTCCTCTCTGTAAAAAATCAATAAAATATAAGAATTTTAAATGAGATAGTTGCCACTCTGTCTTTTGTTCTAAATCTTTGAACTCTACTGTGTATTTTACATGTCTAGCATATCTGAATTCAGATTAGCTACATTTCAGGTGCTGAATGGCCACATGTATCTGGTGGCTACTGTACAACTCCTTTGAGGAATTTTGCTATAAAAGGGATTAGAGAAAAATGGTAGTTTTTCAGAGGGGGTATGGAATCAAGTGTTTTGTTTGTTTTTAAATGAAGATACAATAGCATTTTTAAATGTGATGGGACTCATCTAACAGAGTCAGATAATTTGACGATGCAGACACAGAGGGAACAATTACGCAAAGGACCGATGTCCTTCAGTAGGCAGGATGGGACCTAACGCACACTTAGGGATGCTGGCCTTATACAGAGGTAGGGAGGTTTATCATGGTTCAGGTTGGGAGGCACATTATAGGGGCACAGATGTGGTTGCGAGAATGCATGAAAATTCTCTTTGGACTGCATCTGTATTCCCAGGGAAACAGGTAGCTAAAAATGTGAAAGGGGAGGAGGTATTAGAAGACTGAAGAGAAAGGCAAGGGCATTAAAGAATCATAGAGAAAGTGGAAGAGTGAGTAGGAACATGTAGCATGGTTGCCAGGAATCACCATTGACCTATTCGAGGTTGGTGGTCAGGAGTGTAAAGTGAGACCCATTAGCTTCACTTTGCATATGTCTCTCCCCCTTTCAATGGCACAGCTTCAGGTACCAAAAAATCTCCATCTAGTTGGATTTGATCAGGACTGGTGAGCAAGACAAATGAAGAGAGGAATAAAAGTTGAGAATAAATGCAAGTGAAGGATTATAATGATGGGATGTGGCATCTAAGCCAGTTGGAAGGAGGAGTGCACATGATGGGAGGAGCAGACAGATGTAGCAGGATGAATGGATTGTTGGAGGTAAGTGCTAGAAGGAGTGAGCTGGAAAGATGGTGGTATCGCTTAGAGTAGAATGTTTGGCTTGAGGTTATAGGGAGGGTGTAGTTATTAGGGAATGGCAGGGATATTGGTATAACCATGGGAGTGGGCAGCTGAAATAGGATGGAGTCGTGACCCCTAGAGAAGAAGTTCCCAGAGGAGAGAAGGTGGTGGCAGCAGTGGAGCAGTGAGTGCTGGACAGGGAGTGAGCTAAGAGCTCACTCCTCAAGGAATACGGAGTGACTCAAAGGTCTGTAGAGGACAACAATAGGAGATGTGGGCCACAGAAGTGTCCGATGACACAAACATCAAAAGTGGAGGATTTCAGTGGGAGGAATAGTGGTCAGAAGCAGAAAGAAGGGGAAATCGGGGCCACTCTCCTGACCTCTGGGCTGTGGAATGAAGCATCTGGGAGGGAAATGGGCCATCTCTAGAGACTGCAAGGGGAGCAGGACCCTCGGGTTAAAGCCAGAAAGTGAAAGGAGGGGTCAGAAGATAAAGTCTAACTGGAATTTGGCCACACCCTTCCCTTACATCATTGCTGTGTTCTCCCCACAGAGTTGAATAGCTGGGACAGAGACTGCAGGGCTCACGAAGCTGAAAAGCTGTTACCTGTCTGCTGCCCCTGAGTGGAGATGGACTGTGGGGAACAGAGGGCACAGTGGGCACAGTGGGCACAGTGGACACAGTGGGTACAGTGGGCACAGAGGGCACAGAGGGCACAGTAGGCACAGAGGGCACAGTGGGCAGGATTCAGGAGTGGGGTGGAGGGCAGAAGGGTGCAGATCAGAGGACACAGCCTACATGGGATGCAGACTGAGACTTTGTGGTAACCAAGAACAATAGGAAAGAGGGTACAGGGGCAATTTCCGTCCTTTGTACCTTGAGATGACTACTGATTCACTGCCAGTGGAGAGTGTGCAGGGCCAGGGTCTGGGGTCAAGAAGGAAGTCCAGGTATGAAAACTGGGTTCCCTTACCAGACATGAACTCAGGGTCAAGGCAACTTTGTTTTGAGGACTAGACTCAAGCCTTAAATAACTCACACCCAGAGCAGTGGACCTGGAAATGGGAGGCTGTAGCTGCAGGCTTAGCTTTGCAGAAGCTCAGATCCAGGCAGGATCCAACAATGAAGTTGGTCTAGTTCAGTGGTTCTCAACCTTCTGGCCCTTTAAATACAATTCCTCATGTTGTGACCCAACCATAAAATTATTTTCGTTGCTACTTCATACTGTAATGTTGCTACTGTTATGAGTCGTAATGTAAATATCTGATATGCAGGATGGTCCTAGGCGACCCCTGTGAAAGGGTCGTTCAACCACCAAAGGGGTCGCGACCCACAGGTTGAGAACCGCTGGTCTAGGTTAAGGATTTTCAAACTGTGCTCCATGGAACCTTGGGGGCATCTCCAGCAGTGAGGCCAGAGGTGAGTGACTGGGGTTCTGGATCCTTTCCCCATATTTAACAGTGGGCTCCCTTTGATCTGTGTTTTGCATTGGGCCTCTGAGTAAGGCTTTGTTTGAAAATGGGTTCTACAGCTAAAAGGAGTTAGATGACCCTGGCCAGACCACATCTAAAGTCTCTCTGTGCTCCATGATTCTTTCAGCTCGGCTTGGCAATCTGATGGCTTCACATGTTAGCTGTGATGCCTGGAATCCCAGGCAGTGGTTAGCCAGGGTGGGGGAGCGGGCTCCTTTCTAAACAGAGAAATGTTCTTTCCACTGAAGTCTAGATCATGGAAATGGAGACCTGCTCACAAGTTGGCTAGATAGCATTCCAAATCCAAACCAGATGTGGTTGCTAGTATTTCCTGAAAGAAAGCAATATGCTTATCGGAGTACAAGATGTTCACCATATATTATTCCGTGAAGGGAGCAGAGAGTAGACAACTTTCCTGTCTTTTAACCCCTGCTCCAACTTGATGCAGACTCTTTATTAAGTGTCTGTGTTTAGTTTTGAAGGGGTAGGAAATGCAGGAAATGCAGGGACGGGCCTAGGGGATGTTTGCCTTGGCCTGTGGGGACTGCTGTGTTTCTCCTCATTAGACACTGTAAAGGTGGGACCAGGCTTGGTGTCTACCTTTCCTAAGGGCTAGGTTCACATGCTGATGCTTTGTGTGTGTGTGTGGAGGGGGAGGGGGCGGATTTCTGGAGGAGGTGTGTCTGGTGGTTCCTTTGCACTCCTCCTACTGGGGATATGCCCACATCCAAGGTACATGCCCTTGACCGGAATCGAACCTGGGACCTTTTAGTCCACAGGCCGACACTCTATCCACTGAGCCAAACCGGTTTCGGCGACATTAGAGCTTTTAAAAGAACAGGGCAATGAGGCTCCGGAGGCCCCAGTGAGGCAGGACCAACATATGAGGAGGGAGACAGAAGCCTCTGTGGCTGCCGCAGCATGTCTGGAGCAGATGGAGCTACTGTGAGTCCCCAGTTCTCAGGGTAGGCAGGGGGCAGGTAGCTCACAGAGGCCTCTGAAGTCCTCTCCATGTTCACTCAGCAGCAGCATCTCCCACCATACCAAGGAGCTAACCTCACTTTAGGATGGAAATGTGACAGGTCTGTGGGAGGAAGGAAATGCCTCATCACAGGCCACCGGAAGGGCAATACAGAGGTAAGAGAGCGGCTCTCGACCTGGCCCTTCAGCAGCAGGCAGGTACTCCCCTCCCCGGGGGCACCCCCAGGCAGACTCTCCTGACCTGAAGGAGGCAGGAGAGACCTTCCCCTAAATAGCTGTGGGGGGTGCCAAGGAGAGCAGATATTTGCCAGGAGATGCAAGGAAAACAGGGATACCCATTTAATACTGTAAAGACAGTAAGAATGGGAGGCTCGGCTGAACAGAGGTGGTGGAGCTACACCTTCTGTGGGAGGTGGAGGGGATGTGCGCCATCTTTTGAGTCAGTAGGATTGGCTGAGATTTAGACTGGATGGAAATCCCCCGGGACCAGTGCCCATGGAGAAGAGAAACTAGGTCTCAAACATGGCCACGTGTGATATTAATGGGGAAGAACTCACAGGGTCACACTGAACCACAAGGTGAGCAAAAGGCTTAGAGTCAACTAGAGGTGTCTTTTGGAAGAATGCCTGCCTTTCTCCATTGGGCTCATGGTCTAGACCCCAGGGAGATGTGACCAGAATCTAGATGACCCACAAAAAGTCCACCTTCTGTGGTTGTGAGGAGGAGAAGCAGTACAAAGGGTGCAGGGGAATCTAAACAAGCTAGAGATGAGCAGGTTTTCCAGTGCGCAGGCGTGGCCGGCACCTGCTCCCCCATCCCAGGGCTCCTGTTGGATGCCTGCAAGTGCTGCCTGTTCTCACCTCTTGTGCTCTAGTTAAGGCCGTGAATGGAGCACGGAGCTGTATCTGGTCAAGTCTGATTCATTCATAAACATGAGAGAAAGCAGCGTCCTTGCCTAAACAAAATTGGTCCCAGCAAGATACCTTGTCTCTCCACGGCTCCCAGAAGCACCCGAGCTCAGCCTGGGGCTCTTTTCCACACATGTATGAAAAGTTCCCAGGAGACTAAGGCCTTGCAGAAGATGCTGAATTTAAAAAGGATTCAGGGACATTTGGAACAACCCACCTTCAAGACCTCTGCTATGTTTTACTGAGTTAATTCAAGGCATTTGTGGAGTCACTTGTTGTGCATTCTGGCATGAAATTCTGGCAAAATCTCTTGTATAACTGCCTCCTCACTCAGAGTCCTCTGGAACCAGATATATTCCTGGCGAATAGTCTGATTTTAGTACTCCTCAAGTCACCCAAATATCCCTGATGTTAATGTGGCCCAAGTGTGTCACTCATTGGTCGGGCAAAAAAGGACAACAAAGTAAAAACTCCAAAACAGCTCCAAACCCTCACAAGCCATCCAGATGGCCAGAGACAAGGACATAACTTCCAATTGACCTCTATTTGCCCCTGTGTTATTTCCTTCAGGAAAGACCAGACACTCCCATGAGATCACAAGCAGCGAGTGCTCTGGAGAAACTGTGAGGCCTTGGTCTTCACTGGGTCAGCACAAAAGGATTCAGGAAAATAGTTTCTTGGGGTAAGAGCCAAATGACATATTGACCTTGACAATGAAGCCCGTCAGAACTCAAAGGCAGTAGAAACACAAGGTGGCTACAACTTGAGCTCTCCATGGGCTCAAAGAAGCCAGCTGGTTCTTAAAGTGAAATCTTGCTACAAAGGGACCCTCCCTTTAGAAAACAGCCGAGTCATAGGAAACTCAACCATTGTGTGCTAATAAGTTACATCTCACACAGCAGATGTAGGCTTGTTAGGTAGAAACATGTCCTAGAGAATCATTCTGTGAAGTTACTAAATTTTATTAGTAAAATAAAATGAGGAGATCACTTCTAAATTTTATTTAAGATTTCATACAATGCTTTTTTTTAAAAAGCATATATTGACTTTGCCTCATCTGATACTAAAATCCAGCAGCATGTCAAGGGGAGGCCGTGTTTGATTTGGGTTTGGCTACTCATCATCTTGGTCCTTCATAGTTCCCTGTTTTCTTCTCACCCACCTGTCTTGAGCAGCCTGGTTCCTTGGCCACAGAACAAAGCTCACTGCAGAGGTGAGAGGGGGCATCCGCAGTGCTTGTGTGCCAGCCCCAGCCAGCCCCGGGGACTGCATGCTCACAGGCAAGCTGAACTAATCTGCTCAGTGACACAGCAGGGACATTGGTCAGAGGCGCTGTCAGGCCAGGTGTGGTTGGAGATGGAAGAAAACACCTTAAGCAGAGAACTGTCCTAAGTTGCATGAAGGACCATGGGTTCCATCTAAAGTACTCACATTCAACTCATGCATGCATGTGTGTGTGTGAGTGAGTGTGTGTGTGTGTGTGTGTGTGTGTGTGTGTGTGTGTATGCGCGCGCGTGGGAGTAGTGGTGAGGAGGTTCCTAGATAATGGCTCCTTTCCTTTTGGAGAAAGTCTGAATTCAAATAGATATTTAGTAAGTCCTCTCGTTCTGCCTGAGCCCAGAGCCACTGTGACCAGATCAAAAGGAGATATAAACACAGAAGGGAAGAGATATGTATTGGTTGGCGGCAGGGGTGAGGGGAGGAAGTAGAGAAGGGTAGCTGTACTTACCCTACAACCACAATTATAAAATCTAGTAAATTCCACCCGTTGCGGAGGTAAGCGTTAGGGTGAAAGAGAAGTCCATAGGCTATTACTTTTAAAAATGCTTCCACAGTAAAAATGATGAGAAAGAGATATTCCACTTGTTCCTAGGAAACAAAAATAGAAGAGAAAAAGAAAATTGTTAGATTGGGGGTTTTATAAAGTTCTGCCCCATCAACTCTCACAAAAGGTGGAGGAGAATGCTATCCCTACCCCCATGGGAGGAATTAAGGGGACACTGGGTAGGACCCCCAAGACAAATTAGTAACTCCACAGTCTGTTTCATGATTAGAATTCCAATGCACTGGGCATTAGGTTTTTTGTTTGTTTTTAAGTCCTTAAATATCTTCTGTTAGAGTGTAAATATTATAATGGTCAAAAATTACACATTTTTGGGGAAACATCTTACTTAATCAGTGAATATGTCATAGTACCTTCTCAGGAGAGAACCCATGATGTCTTGATCTAAAGCAGTGGTTCTCAACCTTCTGGCCCTTTAAATACAGTTCCTCATGTTGTGACCCAACCATAAAATTATTTTCATTGCTATTTCATAACTGTAATGTTGCTACTGTTATGAATTGTAATGTAAATATCTGATATGCAGGATGGTCTTAGGTGAACCCTGTGAAAGGGCTGTTTGATCACCAAAGGGGTCACGACCCACAGGTTGAGAACCACTGAAAAGGGAAACAATGCCTGGACATAGGAGAGGGTGCTGAGAAAGGACCGCAGGAGGAGTGTGCCATGATTCAAGGTAACAAACCCTGGAGACAACACAGTCTTGGGAGAGTACCAGCTGAGCTCTCCAAAAGAGCAAGCACACAGCTGTGTTTGAGACACTAAAGATCTCTCAACAGCAGCTAAAACAGGCAAAACTGCTCACATACACACGTCCAAAAATTTGAACTCTCTCTCTCGAGAAAATAAAATTCTGTCCAAAGACATAGAGCAGGTTAGCAGTGAAAATCAGCATTTCCGGGATGGAGACAGGCACTGGGATGGGGATAGTGAATGGAAGAGGTTCATCTCTTTTCTCAGGGTCAGGAGGTAGGCAGTCATTTCTTCCCTCTGCCACCTCGAAGAAGGGCTTTGCATTTAAGGTTGCAGCTCCTGACCCTGGGAACCCACACTGAACAGAAGAGACTCCTTGGCTGAATTAGAGCAAGCTGACTCTGGGCTGATTCGCAAGATTTCTGCATCACTAATTGCTTTCTCCCACAACCATCCCCAATGCAGATCCTTAATGGCCCCCATCAAGCCACGGCTGCTGCCTGGTTCTTCATACTCCACTGCTCGCCTCTGCAGGACCCTCCGCCCATCTCTCACTGGAGCCACAAAAACAATAGTCCGTGTAGCATTAGGCCACAGGTCCTCTAAGCAGGACAGGCCCGTCCACAACATCCAGGAAGCATTCAACTCAGAACACCCAGACCTATTTTCCCATCTTCTACCAGGTCAGGTGGAGCTCACTGAAGGTCTCCAGTCCCAGCCACATTGTAGAGTGAGCATCACCCGGGAAGGCCCTCTTCCTTCCACCAAGCTGCTGGAGGGTGCTCCGAGATGGGGGCATTGGGAGCCTGATGGGTAGCTAGCTCTGCAGGAAGAGGTCCCTCCATGCATGTCCCTGTGCTCCCTTCATTCTTTCTGGATCCCCTACTGGCCTTACCCCTGGGGTGAAGCAGTTTAAGGATGCAAAGTTAAAAAAAAATGCAAAATTCTGGGCCCCAATCAGATCTCCTCCTGGTTATGCAGCCTGGAACTGTGCATTACAAACAATTTCTAGGTGTCTCTGAGGCATGTGAAGTTTAAGAACCACTGGCTTGTGTGCAGATGCAGGTCCAGGTCAGGCAGCAATTGTGGGAAGGGAATGGAGAGTTCGGATTGAATCAGCATCTCAGAGGCAGGCATCCATCCTTTACTTTTTACCCACTGGAGCATCATAAAATTAGTCTGGGGATGAGACTGCCTAGGAGCTGTGACCCAGGTACAAATCACAATGTGTGGGAGCCTCCAATCTTCTAAAATTAGGTTACTTTGTGTTAAAATGAACATCAGAATAGTGTTGAAAAGGAAACAAAAGGGCACAGTGCAACCTGAGGAAACTTGTGGAAGGGGGTGGGGCTGTCAGACAGCCACACAGGCCCATCCCCATGATGGTGAGAGCTCTCATGTTTCTCAAAGTTAACAGAGCCACCTCCCCTGTACCCCAGAAACCTCCATGGTAAACCCACGGAGTTGGAGCTGGGATGAGAAGGGAAGGAAAGGAAAGGGAAATAAACATGAGCTGGGTACCCACTAGGTGTCAGGCATTTTCATATGTTCGCATATGTGCTAATTACTTTTACATGTCCGTCCACCCACCCATCAATCCAGTCATTCATTGTCAGTGTGGAACCAGCCGAACTATCTTAAAGCACCACTGGAGCTCCCTCTGGGGTGTCTAAACCTTCTGAGAGAGGCAACACCCAAGCTTAGAGAACCTCTTCCCCAGGGAAGGGAGAACAGTAATATCCCAAAGGCTCCGAGGGCCCCTTGTGCTGGGAAGCCAGCATTCCAAGACAACTCCTGTAAACAGCTGGAACCCCCAACCCAGACTGCCTGGCACCAAGCAGTCTATTTATTCCCTCATCTACAAGGCTGTTCTGCCTTGCTTGATTTCCCTATAAAAAGAGAAAAGCCAGGGGGTGGAGGGGTCCTGGTCCCCTCTGCTGCGATGCAGCCCCACACTCCAGACCAGTGGCTTCCTGGACCTAGCACACCTCTTTGTGAGGTGGGGGACTAAAGGGGGACATGTCTGTGGCTTCTCATGTGACCTTTGGCCTTTTTAATTCTCCCAATAAAGTCTAAACTATGTGACATTTGTCCCACATCCTGGCACATAACACGTGGAGACTCAGAGGACCCATGCGACATGACAGTGTATCACTCAGACATTGACACACACATGTATGTGCTGGGTGGACTTCCCAATGGTCAGCATCTCTGAGATGAAGCTTGAAGGATGAGTGCTGTGCAGGTGGGGGTGGGGGTCAGGTACTCCACGTGGAGGGAGGACTAAGGAGGTGGGGGAAGTGTGGAGAGCTTCAGGAAATGCAAACATTTGATGTGGCTGGAGTGAAGGCTGTGAGAAAATGGTGGTGGAGGGATGGGTAGAAGCAAGATGACCAGGGCCAGTGTGGCCACACCTGGGTGCTCGGATTCCATTCTGAGGAGACTGGAATGACGGGGTCAGATGTGCACTGCAGTGTGGCCCTGCCATAGAGCATGACAGTGGTGTCGGGGGTGGGGAGGGTGGGCAAGTGACCCATACAGAGGTCATAGTCTCAAGCCGCAGTAGAGACAGAGGGACTGGTTGAGCAGTAGATGATTTGAGAGATACTTTATAAAAGATGTAATTTGGTTTCTGATTGCACGTAGGGGTTGGAGGAAGAGGCAGTGAAAGAAGTGCACTGTTCCTTCCCTGAGGTTTCTAATTTGGCGACTCTGGATGGTGATGCCTCTCACCGCAGTAGGGGACTAGGAAGAGGAAGGGGGAGAGACATCAGTTCTGGACTTGCTGAATTAGGGCACTTGTGGGACATCAAGATGCAGAGGTAAGGCTCAGAGGGGAGTGCAGCTTGCAGGGAAAGCTGAAGGAGGTGGCCCTGGGAGAGCGTGCAGACTAAAGAGAAAAAAAGGTGAGGCTGGAATCCAACCGTGTAAGGGACAACCTCATCCCCAGGAAAGCACTTCCTCATTGTGACACTTATCTCCTAGGCAGAAGTTACAGGACCCTTCCTCAAACCAGGCGTGTGAAAGAGAAAGGGATCTTGGCAGTTATCCAATTAACCTCCTCATTTGAAAAATTAGGAGACTAATAAGATACCAAGGCCAGGGAGGCACAGGCTGAGAACAGGAAACCAGATTTCCTGACCCTCCATCTCACTTCATCTCATCTGGCCTCCCTGGTCACACTGCTCTTGCTAAGGACCTGGGAGAGAAGTGAAAAGGGACCAGGGAGTCAGTAAGAAGGAGTGTGAACAAGAACCCAGAGGAGGGGCAGGTGCCCGTGGGTGCAAGATCTGGACACAGCCACCTGTGCTGACTGCCACTGGGAAAAGCATTGTATTCACTCTGACCTTAGAGGCATGAATGTCCTTACAGAATTAATCTAAAAGTAAAAAATAAAACCAAACCAAAAAAAAACCCTTAAATAAATGAAACAGCTTCAGTGATCCTTTGAAAATATGTGCTGTACTGCTATAGAAACATCTAAGGGTGAAAATGAATGGAGTAAAGAAAAACAAAACTTTGTCACAGATTATTCTCTTGCTGTTGATACCCTGGTGTCAGTGTCTCCGGTCCTGTGAGGACACACTGTTGAGCAGCCCCCTCCTGAGGCCCGAGCTCAGTGTGCCCTCCTGAATCTGCAGGGGTCGCGGGGCTCTCAGAGAATGCACCCAACAGTCAGCATGTGAATGGCCCTTTCTGTGCTCTTGGGAACCAGGGAACTTTGGAAGCCAACCTGGAACAGACTAAGATCCTCATTCCTACTATTCCGTGTTGAGGTTGGAAAGGGTGGAGGAGGTAGAAAAACTGCAAAAGACAGAACAAACCATGGGACCAAGTCAGGGAAACACCAAACTCTCAAGGCTGCAAATGTGGGGACTGGATTCCCCAGGGCTCCTGGAGGAGCCCCCTCCTTGGGGCAGTGTGATGACCAGGCCCTGGCAGATGGTCCTGTCTTTCTTCTTCCTTTCTATCACGTCTCTTCCTCTCCAATGCTATATTCCTCCTACTGCTTCCTCTCATTTCCATGTTCTTCTCCCTTTCTTTCCTCTCTCCCTGCTCATTTCTTAGGGCTACCGCTGGCAACCAGGGCCCATGGTCACACCCATGTTGGAAACATTTAGAAGAATTCAGTGGGGAGAGAGCTCAGTTCCCAGGAGTCATGACATCTTCTAAACACTCATGGAGCTAATCAGGCACTGATGAGTACTGGCTATCTTAGTTTTCCATTTATCTTTTCATATGTACATATCCTTTATAAACTTACAGAGGACAGAGACTCAATTATTTTTTCAACAGTAATAATCTTGATTTTGGCACCAACTGACTCTGTGTGTCTTTGGGCAAGTCATTTTACTTTTCTGCCTCTATTTTTTTTATCTGTAAAAGAACGAGTTAAGCATTTTAAAAACATACAGTGCTGCAGAGAGCCCTCGGTTTCTACAGTGCTGTTTGGGAGCAGCTACAATTTAGGGGAAGACTGAGAAAGTGGGGCTCTGGCTGCCCACCCCTGAACCAGAGCAGTGCCATTTGAATCCACATGCTAAGATGTCCAAAAGTCCTAACAGTGGAATGTCATTCATTCAGGACAATCTGATGGGGGTGTAGACAGAGAATATGCACAAAAGGAAGTCGCCACCTCTTCCTAACCAGCCTGGAAGGCTTTTATTTAGCTTTATATGCAGGGTTCTACATAAGATTTTATTTCAGAAGAGGAATCACTGCTTTTTGCATTTTTCTTGGATCTCTGAACACCACTTCCAAAGTAGTAGATGACGTATAAATTCTCTCCAAAATTCTATGGCAAGTGAGGAGTGGGGATGCTGATGCCCAGCCTGCGTGCAGTTCCGCCTGAAGCACAGATTCCAAGACATGGAAAGGAACATGGAGTTCCTGTCCTCCTTGTCTGATGATCACCATGAATACAAATGGATTTTATAATAAAAAATCCTTCATTAAAGAAATTAGTACTATTTGTCCTTGTGAGCAGGAGCCATGCCAAGGTAGAGCTCCTAGAACAAGGACAACTGAAGAGAGCTTGTCTATTCATGGATGCACATTTCTGCGCGAGCGCGCGCGCACACACACGCACACACACACACACACACACACACACACACACACACACACGGCACATCTTGGCTATGCCCACTGTCCATGATGAGCACTCTACAGCTTACATCTGCTATATAACAGACCAGGGTGTAAGAATTGGGACTAAGCCCATATGCACCCTCTTAAATTTAGGCAAGTGTATTTATTAAAGCTGCCAAGAATTCTACACCAAACAAGTTGATAAGGAGCCCAGTCATACAATTTCATCTCAGTACAAGGTGCAAAGACATTAAACACAATAATAACGCTTCAAGCAGCACCTTGGATTCCGGACTGTTTCATAACTTAAGAACCATTCAATCTGACCTCAAATTATAGCCGCTGCCTATTCTCTAATGAAGGGGGGTAAAGAAACTGGAATACTGTAGTTCCTCACTCTCCAATTCTTCTCTCATTCATTCATTCATTCATTCAAGTCACAGATATTTCCTGAGGGTCTGCTCCACCCCACCCCACTTGCCCCATTGCCCTCTTAGAACACTGACAGACTTGTAGAAATAAGAAATAAGGACACACATTCCAAGCTCCTCATTATACAGAAGTAAGGGGACTTGTCCAAGGCCGAGCATCTACCCGATGTGATGGGCACTCAGGTTTCCTAACAGCTGGCTGGAGCACCTTCTGACACAGCACAGCTCTTTGTGTATGTGGACTAATTGAAACCCTGAATTATTGTGCCCATCAGTCATTGGGCAGTAAAGGGCCATCTATATGGTATGGCTGGAAGGGTGGATATCAGTGTCCCAAAACCTCTTCCTGGGGTCCCTACTGGTGCTTGAAATGTAGCCATTAAGAAGCCTTCCTTCCATCAGTGGATGACTGATAAACACTATATGGTATATCCACACAGGATGGAATATTAGCCATAGAACAAACGGAATTCTGACACGTGCTACACAGATGAGCCTTGAAGACATTGTGCTACATGAAAAAAGCCTGACACTAAAGGACAAATACTGTATGATTTCATGTATGTGAAATACCTAGAATGAGCAAATCCAGAGACAGAACATAGATTAGAGGTTACCGGGAGCTGGAAGGAGGAACTGTTTCAGGGAATAAAAACCCTTGGAAATAGCGGTGATAGTTGCACGACATTGTGAGTATAATTAATGTCACTGAAGTGTACACTTAAAAATGGTTAGAAAGGAAAATTTTATGTTGTTTACTACAATGCAAAAAGAAAAGAAGCATTCCTTTGGATCTCAAAGGTTTTCTAACTTTTAGTGATCTCCATCTAAACTACCTGAGGTCATATTTAAACCTGTATCAGCTACCACCTCAAAAGGGACTGATTCATCAGAATGTTGACAGCATAGCTTTTCATGGTGAGATCCTGGCCAGATGTCTGGGGTACCTGGATTGAGGAGAAGGGGGCTGGGTAGGGAGGTGGGAGCCCACTGAAGACAACTACTTTGGTTTCTCAATTTTTGAGGGCAAGCCCTTCCCAAGGGTCTCATATAGAAGCCTATTTAGAAGGTGCCTGGTGGTTCAGATGGCAGTGGCCTTAAGACTCAATACTTCCTGTAAAGGAAGAAGGGAGGGGAGAAACCATTTAATAGCCTAAGAGTAAAGCAGCCTTGAAAAGAATATTCACCTATTTATCAAGTCCAAATAGCAACTGAGGCTGAGTGAGTTGAAAAGTATGCCAGTGTTTTACAGTAGCTCAGTTTAGAAAAATAAAAACTGTCCTCCAACTGGTCTGTTTTCTTTGCGCTTGCCCATGACACTAAGTTGAAGTGACTTATCCACTGATTAATTTCTCACATTCATGTCTTCTTCTCTAGATGCCGGACTAGCCTCAGCTGCCCCAGTCCGTTGGCACCAGCCTCAGATCCCAAGTGCACCGAGCATGCTGCCTGCCCACTCCTTCTGGGCCCTTCACGGCCCCTGTCCCTGAGAGAGCATCTCTGTCATCCATGGAGCCTCCTCCTAGGCTCTATTTCTCAACTGTCAAGTCCCACAGGGCAGAGACTAGCCTGCTAAAGTTCTCTATCTGGAGTCCAGCATATGAGCGGTACAGAGGGGGCACGCAACCTTTGTCACATACTATTTGCATTGCTCTCTTGGATTCAAAAGAAGCCCAATGTTATACAACCAGCATCTGCCCACAGCAGGAGCTCTCGCCGTTGCTGGCCCTCACCTCAGAAGGTCACTTCCTTATATGGCTGCTCGTCCTGTCACTGGGCAGCTCCACTGTCAGAGTATGGCCAGACCCTTCCCTCCAAGGAGCTCTCTCTGGTTCAGAGACATTGCCTCTTCTTTTGGAGAAATGAAGTGGACAGGGTGACAGATACTACCAATCACCAGTCAGGCCTGAATTACTCCTGGGGACACTGGGGCATTTGCTTAGTGACCTGTGGCTAGTGTGTAATTTCCCAAATAGAAGGAAGATGCAGCAGTGGCCTCAAAACTCTTTGAGGAGTAGACTAACACCTGACCCAGGGAAACAGCCCGTCTTTTCTGTCGGTGTCCTTCCCGGCCCCCATCACTGGCTGTTTAGATACCAAAGCAGCTTCCTAACTGGTTGCATTGACATCCAGGCTGTTTTACTTCTTAAAAACCTCCAAAAGCTCCTCTGCCTGGAAATGGAACCCAGCCTCCTGAGCCTGGCTCCCAGGTCTGCCACAAGCCGACCCCACCAGTCCCTCTGGCCTCATGCCTGGCCACCACCCTGCACCGCAGCCACACCAAATGTTCACTCGCCTCACCCAAGCCAGACAGGTTGTCATGGCAACACTCTTCTTCATGCCTTGCCAAGCCCGACCCTTTCTCCTCAGGCTCCTGGACAGCTCCCTGTCATCACTGTCACTGCCCAGCTACCCTGCCCCAGAAAGGACGGATTGGTTAGCACCTCCTCCCAGCTTCCGCCCCTCTCTTCAGATCACAGTGATAACACTTATCACACTGTGTTTTCTAGGGCCTCCTCTCCCTCAGGACAGAGTGCCTGCAGGGCAGAAGCAAGTTTCTTCTTCACTTTTGGTTAAGAGCTGTCTTTAAATGAAAGGCAAAATGGTAGAGGAAAGAGGGCTTTGGAGTCAGACACACCTGAGATCAAATTGTTTCCCAGGTGCCAGCTACGTAACCTCTCCAAGCTCTGGCTTCTTCACCAGTAGACAGGAGGTAGGTATACAGATTGACGGGTAATTCTGAGAATTAGAAATCACACAGTCATCACTCAGCAGCTGCTAACATTCCTGCATCCCTAGCACCTGCACACAGTAGGTGTTCTGCCCATGTCTGAGGAGTGAACATCCCTGCTCCAGGTGGCTTTGTGTGTCCTCCCCAGAGGTCCTGGCTCTGTCTGCTCCCTGGCGCCCCTCCTGGGCAGTGGAAGCCGCCAGCGGCACCAGCCCTGCTGCCTCTCTGTCTCCTCTGCTGCCCTGGCCACATCAGCTCTCTTGGCCTCTCAGCAGATGGCTCAACTCACTTTTGTGCCTCTTTTGATCCTCTGGACGTTAACAAAAACTAGAGACTTGAGGCCTCACATCTGTTATCAAAGAAAGACAAAATAAAAACATCTCTGTATCCTATCTGCTGGGTTCCCTGTATTCTGAATGTCCTTGCCCCACATCCCTCCTATTCGTTAGATCTACAGTAATCGGTTCTATTCTGGCTTTAATAACCCCCAGTCCCAAAGCTGCGAGCATTTTCTTTGTGTCCCTGAGAACCTGCCAATCCTTTGCTCCCCGAAGTGATTTATTTCAGCTACAGCGGACAAGGGTGAAGGATGACAGTCAGTGCTCCCAGGAGCAGAGGACCCATGGATTGAGAAGGTTTGCTAACCATGCAGTAACCCCCACAGTGCAACTCACTGGGAAGTGCTCTACATTCACAGGGCACTTCCATACATTCAAATGTTGAGTCTCATGATCACTTGTAAAGCAGGAAGGGCAGATGCATTTCTTCTCTTCATACTCCCACTTTCTTTTCCTTCTCACAAAACCACCATCGCCACTATCACCACCACCACTATCACCAATGAACACCTCCACCACCATCTCCACTGTTACCACTACTGTCATCACCACCACCGCCACAATCACCATTATCATCGTCACCATCATCTTCATCACCAACCACCACCATCAACACTACTGCCATCATCACCATCCTCTGGCTTCAGGAGAAGCATGTGACCCAAGCCTGGCACTGTAATCTTTTCTTTAGCTGGACATGCTCATGTCTATATAAATAAAGCCTGGATCCATGGCAACCATCATGAGATCTACATGCTGAGGGTGGCAAAAAGAAAGGATGAAAAGAACTGGCATCCTGGATAAAGTTGTTGATTTAACTCAACCAACTTTAGTGCCATCCTAATTTGGGGCTTATTTTATGTGACATAAAACTTCCTTACTGTAGCAACCATTTTGAGATAGTTTTCTTACACTTGCATCTGAAGGCATCCTTATTGATAGACTCTGTTTGCTATCTCTACACATCACTCTTCCTCCTGCCTCTACCCCACTCCTCCTCAGTGTTTCCACACCTTAGCAGCTATTTGGGCACATTGACACCAAGCTTAGTCTCATCAGCTGGGAAAAGCAGAAGCTCTCAAACACTATCAGACAAGTGCTCCTATCTCCTGGTTAGCTTTCAGCCTGGGTGTGAGATGCTTATTTCAGATTACTATCTCAGACTAGATCTAGAGAGATCAGCCCAAATCCCAATCAGAGGGTAGCCATGTAAGCTATGCTTAGCCTCCTGCTCCAGCACAGGGATGTTGAGACAAAGTGCATGGTTGCATGCGGCAGTAATGTTACCATCCTAAGAGGTGGGTGGGAGGCATGGAGGAGCTCCTCCCATAGTCCAGTGGCAGAAGTCTGGAGATAAAGGACACAGATGCAGAACTGGTATTTCTCAGTGTGGTGTTGTGGGGTGGAGAGTCATAGTCTCCTAGAGCAGGAGAAAGCAAACCCTAGTGTTGGAGCCCCTTCCCCTGAGATGCTAGAGCAGGTCTCCAGGTTGGCCATGTGAAAGGGTGATTAAGCTATTGATGGCAGCTGGCGCTGTGGTGAATACCAGGGCACCAGCCATGCAAAAATTTCAAAGGTAAGGTCTCTGCTCCGCAGGAACCCATGGCCCACTTCCTGCTCTGGGCAGTCGGGGAGTGTATCCCTGAAGACTGCTCCTAGCTGCTCTGCTGAGCACAAGTCACCTAAAAAAGGGCTAACTCGCCAGTCCTCCAAATCAGGCTCGCTCCTCACACTCGAGCTCTTCTTGGAAGCTGGCTGACGCCTATGCCGAAGGCAGATCTAATTTAATACGTGTTTCCTGCAAGCTGCAAACAGTCATAATTTTGGCTTTTTGTGGCTGTCTTCTTTCCCTTGTAAAAATGAGCTTGTTCTCCCTGCTGATGATCAGTTCAATTATAATGATATAAAACAGAGAGCAATAAAAAATGGGACATGCCCTAAAAGGGGAGTGTGGTAAGAGTGATTCACAGCCTTACCCTTTGGGGACCCCGGCAGGGGTGAGTGAGGTAAGCTGTCTCTCCGTGTGAAGATGGATTTTGTGTAGGTGGGAAGGGGGATGGGAATCTCAGGATCCAAACACCGGAGGCCACGGGGCCCAGGGCCCTGCCTTCCTTCACCTGACACTCACTGAGCCCTGTCGGAAAGCGCTCACTGCACAGCAGCACAATGAAGCTGGACATAAGGCCTGCTGGCTCCTCCTGACCTTTCGTGGCAGGCAAGTGAAGTAACTGGGCCTGAACAACTCACAGTTCTTGTCACATGCCAGGTCCTGGGCACGGTACTTTCCAGAGGTTATCTCATAGCCATCATTATTCTCACAGCACAGGATGGGACCATGGTCTGCCTGGCACCACGCTGGCTGTATGGACTCCTCAGCCTCCACCACCCTTGTGGACCCCTGGATTGCATACAGCCTCCTGTTGCTTTTTCTCCCTCTGAAAACTAAAGCAAGGACACTGAGCACGCTGTGGCAGTGAGAGCACCATCCTGGGAGTCAGGAATCTTGGGCTCTAATTTTAGTTCCACCATAATCGAGCGGGTGACTGTGGGAGGCTGCACAGCTTCTGTGAACCTGACTTTTCTCACCCACAACATCCTCCTAATGAAGAGGCTGGACTTTATCAGTGGATCCTGAATTTCAGTTCTCTGATGGCTACCTAGAAATGTCCTAGACACTTGTTAAAAATATAGCCTCCTCGCCCCCATCCCAAATGGGCTGAATTAGAATATTCTGGGATGGGCTTAGGAATCTGGATTCCTAACAGCCCCCCCTCACCTCTAAATCTGAAGAGACCAAGTTGGGGACCACCGGTCAAATGGTCTCCATGGTTCCTTTCAGCCATAAGATTCTCAAACCTATCCCTGCTTCCCAGGAGCAAAGGTGCTCTGCAGGGTACAGCCTGGACCCGTCACACCTGACAGGAGGTGCAGAGGCAGATCATTGACCACAGAAGGTGACATGTGGCTTTTACAGAGACGTCTGAGGCCAGGCACAGTGCCAGGACACTGGGTGCTATGAGTCGGGGGCGGGGGAGGGGTGTTTCCAGGGTAGAAAGTTCAGGAGCAAAGGGAGGCAAAGTGAGGTCAGGGCTGTCAGGCCTGCTCTATGCCATCAACCTGCAGGGGAGGATCCCAGGTTGAGACATGCTCATTCCAGCACAGTGCAGTGGTCCCAGCACAATGCAGTGATTCCAGCACAGTGCAGTGGTCCCAGCACAATGCATTTGACTGCAGTGGTTCCAGCACAGTGCAGTGGTCTCAGCACAGCACAGTGGTCCCAGCACAGTGGAGTGGTCCCAGCACAGTGCAGTGGTCCCAGCACAGCACAGTGGTCCCAGCACAATGCATTTGAGTACAGTGGTTCCAGCATAGTGCAGTGGTCTCAGCACAATGCATTTAACTACAGTGGTTCCAGCACAGTGCAGTGGTCTCAGCATAGTGCAGTGGTCTCAGCACAGTGCAGTGGTCCCAGCACAGTGCAGTGGTCCCAGCACAGTGGAGTGGTCCCCGCACAGTGCAGTGGTCCCAGCACAGTGGAGTGGTCCCCGCACAGTGCAGTGGTCCCAGCACAGTGGAGTGGTCCCCGCACAGTGCAGTGGTCCCAGCACAGTGGAGTGGTCCCCGCACAGTGCAGTGGTCCCAGCACAGTGGAGTGGTCCCCGCACAGTGCAGTGGTCCCAGCACAATGCATTTGACTGCAGGCTCCAGGAGGGCTTCCTGGGGAGGGAGGGATAGGAGCTAGATAGGGAGGCTTGCAAATGTCAGTGAAGGAACCTGAGCTTTTTTTGAGGGCAGTGCTGAACCAATAATGAGAAGTAAATCTCATGAAAGCACTCTTCAGGTAGAATTAAAACAGATGTTCAATTTCTAAGCAATAATACAAGATATAGCCTTTCCTTTGAAAGTGTTTCTCAGCTTGGAATCCCTGAAGTGATTAGGCTGTTTGATCTGATAAAGAGTCACTAATATATTATAAACATTCCAAAGCAGACATTACTTTGCTTATAAAAACCTGCCTCCCAGAATGCTAGCCATTCTAGGACGAGTCTTGACCTCCTCCCCACCTATGCACAGGGACACCTTCCTCATTGTGTGGGTCTCTCCCTTCTGAGAATTCTTCACCTTAATCACTCACCAAATGATTCCCAGGCTCTGTCAACATTTCATGGATCAGTAAAATAGCAAAAAAGAAAAAAATGTTAGGGACGGAAGTAGGGTTGCCAACTTTTTATCCTGCCAAGTAGAAATATTAAAAATAACAATGTCCATTTATTATAATTTCATAAAAGGAGGGAGAAACAATAGCAGAATAAAGGATGGTTAGCAACTCCCACTGCCATCGCTACACACACTGCACTCAGCTTCTTTTTCTCATCGGATGCAGCCAGCAAACCTTCACTGTAGGTCGGCCTGGGCGGCAGACTTGCATCAGAAGCGTAGGTCCTTCCTACTCTCCACCGCACTGCATACGTTCTGTGTCCTTCCTACTAAGGTGTTTTTTGCTCTGGCCCCCAAGGCCAAAGGATTTGGCTCTACCCAACCAATCTGTAGAAGATGGCAAAAAATGGCCACAATATTTTAAAGCTCTTCCTATCAAGAGTCAGAGTCTATTTTCCCATCTCTTGAATCTGTGCTAACTCGTCACTTGCTTTGACCAATAGAATATGGGGGCAGTGGCAGTGTGCAACCTCTGAGCCTAGGCCTCTGGAGGCCTCGTGGCCTTTCTCCTACCACATGAACAAGCCCAAAATAGCCTGCTTCAGAATGAGAGACCCTGTGCAGAAAGGACCCAGTCGTACCAGCCAACCCAGCCACAGCCATAATGAAGGACCCAGTTCCGATAACCCAGCATCTGACTGCAGACACTTGAGCAAGTCTAACTCAGACCAACTGAGCCCTGCCAGGTCCAGCAGAACCACCCAATTGGGCTCAATCCACATTACTAACCTGCAGAAATGTGTGCTATGTGAATGGTTGTAGTTTAAAGCCACTAAATATTGAAGTTATTGTTATGCATTTGCATGGGTCTTCTATACCCTCTACTGCCTTTAAATACAACTTGGGATTCCCTAACTCTAAGAATTTGCCTAAATTGTTCCCCTCTAGGCTCAGGCCTGAAACATCTGTTTCCTTTCTCCTGATTTTACCCATTCTCCAAGATTCAGGTAAATTGCCTCTTCTTCAAATACTTCTCAGAACTGAAGTGCTCACTGTCGTGCCACACCCTTAGCCCTTAATGACATACACATTACCTTGTGTTATGTCTTACATACTGTGTTTTAACTTTACACGTGTTTTATATCTTACTTTCTTAATTAGATTGACAGTCCATCATGGGCAAAGGCTTGTCTTATATTTAGACTCAACTTTTAACCCAATGTCTTGTGCAGAAGTATATTATTACTCATTGATTGATGAGACTTGGAAATTCAACGAGTATCTGAAAATAACCATGCCGAGTCAGTTTTTAGCAATGCACCTTCCACGCAGCTCTGAGCTGGTCCCCGATCCTCCTGCTTTTCCATGAGGTCTGAGCTCATGTTTCAGTCCCCCCACAGATGCTTTCTAGAACATGG